CAGTTTTTTTTTTAGATTCTATATTATTTCTGCTCTGATCTTTATTATTTCTCTTCTTCTGCTGGGTTTGGGGTGTCTCTGCTGTTCTGCTTCTATTTCCGTTCGGTGTGCTGTTAGATTTTGTATCTGGGATTTTTCTTGTTTCTTGAGATAGGCCTGGATTGCAATGTATTTTCCTCTCAGGACTGCCTTTGCTGCATCCCAAAGCGTTTGGATTGTTGTATTTTCATCTTCATTTGTTTCCATATATTTTTAAACGTCTTCTCTAATTGCCTGGTTGACCCCCTTCATTCTTTAGTGGGGTGTTTTTTAACCTCCACACTTTTGGAGGTTTTCCAGACTTTTTCCTGTGGTTGATTTCAAGTTTCATAGCATTGTGGTCTGCAAGTGTGCATGGTATGATCTCAGTTCTTTTATGCTTATGAAGGGCTGTTTTGTGGCCCAGTATGTGATCTCTCTTGGAGAATGTTCCATGTGCACTGGAGAAGAAAATATATTCTGTTGCTTTGGGATGCAGAGTTCTAAATATAACCGTCAAGTCCATCTGATCCAATGTATCATTCAGGGCCCTTGTTTCTTCATTGATCCTGTGTCTAGATGATCTATCCATTGTTGTAAGTGGTGTATTAAAGGCCCCTGCAATTACCACATTCTTATCAATAAAGTTGCTTTTGTTTGTGATTAATTGTTTTATGTATTTGGGGGCTCCTGTATTCGGCGCATAGACATTTATAATTGTTAGCTCTTCCTGATGGATAGACCCTGTAATCATTATATAATGCCCTTCTTCATCTCTTGTTGCTGCCTTTAATTTAAAGTCTAGTTTGTCTGATATAAGTATGGCTATTCCAGCTTTCTTTTGACTTGCAGTAGCATGAGAGATAGTTCTCCATCTCCTCACTTTCAATCTGAAGGTGTCCTCAGGTGTAAAATGAGTCTCTTGTAGACAGCACATAGATGGGTCTTGGGTTTTATCCATTGTAATACCCTATGTCTTTTGGTTGGAGCATTTAGTCTGTTTACATTCAGTGCTATTATTGAAAGATATGGATTTAGAGTCATTGTAGAGTCTGAAGGTTTCATGCTTGTAGTGATGTCTCTGGTACTTTGTGGTCCTTGCAACATTTCACTCACAGAATCCCCCTTAGGATCTCTTGTAGAGTTGGTTTAGTGGTGATGAATTCCTTCAGTTTGTGTTTGTTTGGGAAAACCTTTATCTCTCCTTCCATTCTGAATGACAGACTTGCTGGGTAAAGGATTCTCGGCTGCATATTTTTTCTGTTCAACACATTGAAGATTTCCTGTCATTCCTTTCTGGTCTGCCAAGTTTCAGTAGATAGGTCTGCCACTAGTCTTATGGGTCTCCCTTTATAAGTTAGAGCATATTTATCCCTAGCTGCTTTCAGAATTTTCTCTTTATCCTCGTATTTGCCAGTTTCACTATGATATGTCGTGCAGAAGATCGATTCAAGTTATGTCTGAAGGGAGTTCTCTGTGCCTCTTGGGTTTCAATGCCTTTTTCCTTCCCCAGGTCAGGGAAGTTCTCAACTGTGATTTGTTCAAGTACACCTTCAGCCCCTTTCTCTTTCTCTTCCTCTTCTGGAATTCCTATTATACAGATATTGTTTTGTTGGATTGTGTCACTTAGTTCTCTAATTCTCCCCTCATACTCTTCGATTTTTTTTTATCTGTTTGTCAGCTTCCTCTTTTTCCATAATTTTATCTTCTAATTCACCTATTCTCTCCTCTGCCTCTTCAATCCATGCTATGGCTGCCTCCATTTTATTTTGCACCTCATTTATAGCATTTTTTAGTTGCTCATGACTATTTTTTAGTCCCTTGGTCTCTGTAGCAATAGATTCTCTGCTTTCCTCTATACTTTTTTCAAGCCCAGCAATTAATTTTATGACTATCATTCTAAATTCTTGTTCTGTTATATTGCTTAAATTGTTTTTTATCTATTCATTAGCTGTTGCTATTTCCTGGAGTTTCTTTTGAGGAGAGTTTTTCTGCTTCCTCATTTTGGATAGTCCCTCGGGTGGCATGGAACTACAGGGCACTTCCCCTGTGCTGTCTGGAGTAACTTGTGTTGGTGGGCGGGGCCCACAGTCAGACCTGATGTCTGTCCCCAGCCCATGGCTGGGGCCACAGTCAGACTGGCGGGTACCTTATCTTCCCCTCTCCCAGGGGCAGGACTCACTGTGGAGTGGTGTGGCCCCTGTCTGGGCTACTTGCACACTGACAGGCTTGTGGTGCTGCTTTGATGGGATCTGGCCTATTAGCCAGGGTGGATCTGCAAGGTGCACAGGGGCGGGAGGGGCAGGCTTAGCTTGCTTTGCTGTGGTGGTCTCCTGGGGGAGGGGCCCTGCAGTACCAGTGGGGAGGCAGACCCGTTGGAGGGATGGATCCACAGAAGCACAGCGTTGGATGTTTGTGGGGTGCAAGCAAGTTGGGTGATGGGAACTGGTTCCATTTGGGTTTACAGCTGGGGGATGGGAGAGGGAGATGGCGCTTGCCAGTGCCTTTATTCCCCACCGAGCTGAGGTCTGTTTTCCCTGGCTCAACAACTCTCCCTCTCAATGTCCTCTTGCCCTCCTGCTCTCCAAGCAGAGCTGTTGACTTTAACATTCCAGATGTTAAGTCCCACTGGCTGTCAGAACTCACGGAGTCTGGCCCCTCGACTTTTGCAAGCCAGACTTTGGGGGCTCTGTCTTGCCAGGTGGGCTGCCCCTCCACCGCCCCTGCTCCCTCCTGCCAGTCTGTGTAGCACGCACCACCTCTCCGCCCTTCCTACCGTCTTCTGTAGGCCTCTTATCCACACTTGGCTCCGGAGAGTCTGTTCTGCTAGACATGTGGCGGTTTTCTGGATTATTTAGGCAGGTGTGGGTGGAATCTAAGTGATCAGCCGGACGAGGTGAGCCTAGCGCCCTCTTATGCCTCCATCTTCCAACAACCTCCTTTGTTTTGATTCTTAAATTTCACATAAGGAATCATTTAATATTTGTCTTTCTCGGACTTATTTCATTCAGCATTATACTCTCTAGCTCCATCTATGTTGTTGCAAATAGCAAGATTTCATTCTTTTTTATGGCTGAATAATAATATTCCATTGTATGTGTATATATCCATTTTTAAAATCCATTTCTTTATCCATTCATCTACTGATGGACACTTGGACTGCTTCCATAATTTGGCTACTGTAAATAATGCTGCAGTAAATACATGGGTGTATGCATCCCTCTGAATTAGTGTTTTGTATTTTTTGGGTAAATACCCAACAGCGTTTACTAGATTGTGGGGTATTCTATTTTTAACTTTTTGAGGAACTGCCATCATTTCTAATTTAATATGTATCAATATTATATTTTAAATTAAATGTTGTTTCAATAGTACCAAATACAGAATGTATTAGTGTCTTTTAAAAAATACATACAGGGTGCCTGGGTGGCTCAGTCGGTTAGGTGTCTGACTTTAGCTCAGGTCATGATCTCATAGTTTGTGGGTTTGAGCCCCACGTCAGGCTCTGTGCTGACAGCATGGAGCCTGGACCCTGGTTCAGATATTGTCTCCCTCTCTCTCTGCTCCACCCGCCCCCTCCCCCATGCTCTGTCTCTCTCTGTCTCTCAAAAATAAAATAAAACATTTAAAAAAAAGTAAAAAAAAAAATATATACAAAATTTTAAAATGTGTTCCTTCATCGATTTATTCAACCACTTTATATTAAAGACCTTCCCTCTGTGTGCATATATGAACACTTTTTTATCCTTCCCTTGAATCACTATAGCTCCCAGCTAAATGTAAAAAACAAACAATAAAACATATAACTTGGAGGGCGCCTGCGTGGTTCAGTTGATTAAGTGTCTGACTTCAGCTCAGGTCATGATCTTGCAGTTCATGAGATCAACCCCCC